TGTCTCGCTTGGAACGAGTTAGTGCCGGTTCCTATAGGCTGAATGCAAGTTTTAAAATACATTTGACAGTCAAACTAAGAGAATGCCAAAGGAAATGTTTGCAAAGTTACGATCTAAAATTCATCTTCAACATTTTATAAATTCGTATCTGAATCTGTTTGCTTCTCATGCTTGAATAAATACATTTTTTCTGAAGTATGTTTTTGTGAATTTTATTTATTTACAAATCTATAGAAATGTATTTTCAAATCAGTTATCTATGTCTGCTCCAATAAACAATATTCCTTGAATTGTAACTTAAGGATTAATCATTTTAACACTAGAAAGAATTGATTTACAACTGTTTGAGAAATATTACAATCAGAACTATTATTTCTATAGCATTAATCTATTCAAATGATTAATTACATACCAAATTATTTATTAAATAAAGTATAAAGAATAAAAACTTGTATTATTAATACTTTTATATTTTCTTGGTTGTACTACTTTAAAATGTTTATTATAAATTTCATATTGCATGTAATGAAATTTAACTCTGTTCATTCAAATATCACACGAAGAAAAGAAAAATTTTAATTTCTATTATTTCAAATTGTATAAAAATTTTTCTTAATTTTGTGATATCTTTAAAATAATTAGTCTATTGCTAACTTCAAATTCCATCTTTGAAGACTTAATTTAATTCATTCTCTTCAATTATACCATCAAATACATGCTATGACATTTTATCTAGTAAACTAGATTTGATATGAAGATTAATAAATTTGCAAATTAATTGTACTGATTTTTGTGATGTAAATGTATATATACAGTGGAACCTCGGTATACGACCTTAATCCGTTCCTGGTGTTTAGACTTATACCGAATAGGACGTATACCAAACCAACCTTTCCCATAAGAAGTAATGTAAAAATGATTAATCCGTTCTCATGTAGAAAAAATGGCTGGCTTTAAACACCTCGCTTTCCTGGCTAGTTCCTGCTTGATTTTTCACGAGATCAGCATGTATATTTTTAGCTTTCCCGCAAATAATTGCTTCTGATACGCTGTCGCCAGCACAGTGTTTTTCAGTTATCCAAAGCAAAAGCAATTTCTCAGCATGATCTAATGTCTTCGATCTCTGTTTAGAAATTGATTTAACCCCTTTCGCAATGTTAGCAAATTTATAATGTCTTTATTTTTCACGATTGTCGACATAGTCGTTCTCGGAATACGGTATGCAACAGTTAAATCTAGAACACGCATGCCACCTTCATATTTCTCAACAATCTTTTTTCAGTTCCATTGTGATTCTAGTCATTGTTTTTTCTGTTGCCTTTTTGCAATTCATGATTAATAAAAATAATAAAATTTTACTTACAAATTAAAATCAGAAGAAATTTAACAAAGTTATAAACCGTGGCACCACGAACGTCTAGTCTGATCTAATATCAATACATCGATAGTGCTACTTGCTCATAGATGGCGCGTATAATTGAATTAAGTCGTATACCGAACAAAAGTCGTTTCGTCCAAACAGGACGTATTCCGAATTGGACGTATTCTAAAGCAGACGTATACCGAGGTACCACTGTACAGTGGAGCGTCGTTTATCCGAATCAATTGGGGACCTCGCGTTTCTTTATGCAGCGCTCGAGAAGCGCTTTACAGCGAACACACTGAAACTGGTTTCTAATTGGCCAACACTGCTCGTGACGTCATTTCGCTACATTCTCGCTGCATAAAGAAACGCGGGGATACTGAGGTTGTTCGGATAACCGATTGTGTTCGAAAAAATATATTAACCTATCCCGTGTTGAAATTTTTCTGTTGCGTGTCGCTTCGCGTTGAATTTTCGTCGATGTTAAGCCTAACATATACTTTTTAAAATAATAATCGTGGCTATTGTATCGTTAAAAATTATTTCTTTATTTCTTACAAACAAAATAAATATATTGAAAAATATAAAAACCAAAAAATATATACTTTAGAAGATAATCTAGTATCAAAAACGTTGGATTCAGCACACAGTCCTCAGAAAAACACCACACAAAAGTGCCAGTGCTGCCAGCTAAAACACACACACCAACAAAAAAATCATATTGAAGTAGCCCAAGATATAGTCAAAGATTGCAACGCCACAGCACTAGAGAAAATTTAAATTTGCCAACTGGAATGCTTTCGGATAACCGACTTTCGGATAAACGACGCTCTACTGTATTTACAATTGAAATTGAATAACTTCTTCTTTCAATTCTAAGATGTCAACTGAACTGATTCTGAAATCAATCAAATTTTTAAGTAACAAAGAAAATACAAATACCATGAAATATGTGATAACCTTCAATTACCTACATTAGTAACAGATCGTTAAATATAATCAATGCTGTGTTATGTAGAAGCTTTAGAGTTAATTAATTAAACATGCTTACTTTGGCAGGCGCATCTATAAAAGTTTGCCAACTTTGATTTCAGTAAGGATGGGATTCAAACACGTAATCCTAAGCTATAACAAAATATCATTCCATTTCCATCAAATAATAGATTTAAAAGCAAGAGATCCTTATTTAGCTATGTATAAATCTAATCTGATTTAAGACCACAGACAACGACTGTTCTATCGACTCATACAAAAAAAATAATCTACACCTAATTCTGTTTTTACACGAACGATTTTAAACAAAATTTGTCGAGTAAGATCCTAATGAAAAACGAGCTTTAAAGTTACGTGACATGAAATCGTTACTGTCGTTTTATAGAGAATTATATTTCATTGCTTTAGAAATGAAAAATAGTGAAACAACTTGAAAGGTTAGAAATGTAAAAAGCCTTCCGGAGAAGGACGGCAGTTCACTTCGCAGAGTCAGGCTAGAGAGCGTATAGTTAAAAGTGAAGGTTTCTTTCAATAGTGAGATTAGCGATATCTATCACGTCTTTCTTAATTATGCATAATTAACAGAGATCGAGATTAAAACAGTTCTCTTTATTTCGCCTATTTAACAATGCATTTCGGATTGGTAATTTTCCAATCCCTAATTGGGCTGACGGCTTCAGATCTAAAGTTGTTGTCTATAACATAAAGAACAAAAGGTTAGTTTGTCTTAATATACTTGTATTATCCACAATGATGGATATAGTGCACAGTTCGTGCACATCCTTATGGTCTATTAGTCTCTTGCACTTACTGGCATGTTTTCTTTGTCTATTTTTCATGGGCAACAGCAATGCTTCTTCCATTTCCCACCATTATTAACTCCTTATTACCTCTTAGAAGGATTTTAACTTCAATATTGCGGTTGGTAACGTGACAAAGGTCAAAATGTGGTTTTTCATTGCAAATATTTTCACAAACAAACTAACTATGAGTAATTATTTATAGTGACAAGGTCACAATGCCGGATTGCAACTTTTTATCGTATTTTTAAATCATTTAATTTAAAATATATGTTGTCCACTTCAAATTAGTAGTGTCTTGCCCCTGTACATCATACTTTTCCGTTAGCATCTATTAACTGCTTTTGAGCAGGGGGTTTTGAATTGAATTAACTTGACTTCTGGTTTGCATAGAAAGTTCATATATTGTTAATTGGGGTCTCCTGTCCGTAAAGTTTCCATATCTGGTATCGCATTTCATATAACTCCGTTCTCAAGATTAAGACAGTGAGAATTAATTAATAGGTCTACAATTTTTTCAAATTGTCACGAATAAAAAAGTTCAGAATGGCCATGCAAAAGACATGAAAGAATCGTACGAAATCACGAAGCATCTTGCTAAAGTAAATTATGAACAACATAAATGGAAGGTGTGTTGTGATTTCAAAGTTATAGCATTATTACTTGGACTTCAGCTGGGGTATAAGAAGTACTGTTTTTTCTCTGTGAATGGAATAGCAGAGACCGAGTAGCACATTTTAAAAAGAGAGACTGGTGACGAAGGAAATCCCTCAAACCTGGATCAAAAAGTGTTATTTTTGAACCGTTAGTAGAACGCAGTTCTATCATACTACCATCGTTGCATATAAAATTAGGACTTATGAAAAACTTTGTCAAAACCATGGATCGAAATAGACCAGCATTTAGTTTTCTTAGACATTTCCAAACATTTGTGAGGCAAAAGTTAAAGAGGGGATATTCGTAGGTCCACAGATTTCCAAGCTTCTCAAAAAGGCGCACTTTGATAGCGTACTAATAGGTGCTGAAAACGAAGCTTGGAATGCTTTCAGAATGGTGGTAAACAATTTTCTTGGAAACCATAAAGCTTCTAATTACAAACAACTAGTGAATAACATGCTGTCATGTTATGAAAAGATGGGATGCAACATGTCATTAATTTAAAAATGCATTTTTTGTATTTTCACATTGATTTTTTCCCTGAAAACTGTGGGTCCTTCAGTGACAAACATGGGGAACGTTTTCACCAAGACATTGCTTGTTGGAAAAACGATATCAAGGAAAATGGAGTCCATCAATGTTAGCAGACTACTGTTGGAACATTAAGCATGAAACACCTGCAGATTCATAGAAGTCTGTAAAGAAGCATTGTACATGCAAGTGATGTCATGGGTATTTTATGCTTGCACTGTTTATTTAGTTTTTATGTATTAAGAAGTGTTCTGACAGTTTCTGTGTTCTAACTCAAATGAAAATTACATTATCTGTACGTATTCAGATGTCTATTATGCAATGTATTAAACGTTAATGTACTTTGTAAACTTGAGTTAATTCTATTTTTTTATAACCATTTTTGAATTCAGTAAGTCTAAATCATTAAAAACAGCTTGTTTTGTTTCTGAAGGAAATGAAAAGTTTTTATTTGTAGACCTGTGTAATTATAACAACATAAAATTTTGTTATTCAATGTCAATTTGATTTAAAGTATTTGAGAGTTTTTTGAATTAACTTATTTAATTCAAAAAACCTTTTAATAATAATAATAATAATTTATGTAAAACTCCCAAAATATATTTATTTAAACAAGTAAAAACTTAAAAAAAAACAAGTATTTTAACAAAAATAATTTATATTAAATAGAGCACAATTATATTCATTTAAAAGATTTTTAACAAATAATAAAACTGTAAAACATACAGAAAGATTTCAAATTAAACAGATAACAACACTTCCACTTTATCACTTTTGTATTATGTTTGAAACAATATTAATTTCTTTAATTTGTCAATTATATATTATTTCAGTCTAATCTGTTAATTTTTTTACAAATCTGACAATGTTCAAAAAATCAGATCTTTGAATATCCGAAGAAACAATTTTATGTAAATATTGGATAAATATAATCGTCATGCAAATTGGCCGGTGCACTTCCTTGCCGACGAACGAAACGATAAATATTTATTTGTGTAAGAATCACAGTTAATCTGATTGGTTATTTTTACAAAATAAAAGTACTTAAAACGCAAATCTGTATTTTTTTGTGTATTAAAAATACTTTATAATTATTTTACATTAAAGACGCAATGCTTATTAATGTAACTCATTCTAGCATTCTTTATAAGTTGAGCTTTCCGTTCTTCATACAATTTAATTCGGTCTTTGGATGACTTTTTGAAAGCATCGGTCGTGGCATTTGTTGATGGGGAACTCTGCCGAAAAAATTTGTACAAAACATACAAAACAAATTATAACAATATACAATTAAGTTAGAATTATATAAATGTATTAAATATGTAAGAAAAACATACATGGATGGGCAAGTCCTTTGCCACAGCATCGCACAAACATTTCGTTTTTTGGAATTTTTCGCTACCTTGTGATAGAGAATACAGATGTTTTAATTCAGGAATGTAGTTTATAGAACCTTCCAATATCCTGCTGATTGTTAAATCAACATTTTTTGTTATAACTAAGGAAAATAAAACAAATTTACCTTATGTTCGATAAAACATATTCTAAAATCAGAGCTTTATAAATTCCAATCACTAAGACACCACAAATACTTATACAGCAACATATTGAATTCTATATTAATTTAAATTATTATATTAAATTAATTAATAAAAATATAAATGACATTTTGAGATTTTAGAATCAATTTAAACATTTCTATTCAATGAAAAAGAAATTTAACCTAAATGACTTTATTATTTTCACAACTTAAGGAAGGAAGAAAAAGTTTTGTCTAGAAGACAAATGAAATGAGAGGTGGATCAGTGATGATACGAGGAGTAATAGGATACAAGAAGTGTGATCTAGAAATTATTAGCGGACAGTAGAATGCTCAAGGATACATTCGGCCATTAAATGAGAATTTTCTAGTTTATATTTTTAATGATAAGTCCTAAATGTCAATTTCAACACGAATTTGATTTAAATTGAATTGTGACACATACCAAAAACCCAGTAGTAGTATCTTAAGTGTATGCCCATTGAAATCTAATTTGAATAACAATATCATCAATGGTTTGTGTTGACACACATAATGATGCCGGGCAAATCTTGGCACCACTACCAAATTAGTATTCCCTTTGCTGATTAGTCAGGCCATAGACTTTCTTTAACATAGAAAGTATAAGAAGTTGATCGTTGTTGTCTGAGTAGCCCGTTCGGAAACCAAGTTATTGTATGGCAACCGAAGCAAATGTGTTGTTCAAAATTTTGCTTGTAAACAAAACTGTTTATAAATTTATTACCCAAGGTTTGACCATATTGATTAGCACATAAGTTATATAATAAAATTTATGCAAAAATCTATTGGGTTGTTCGGAAAGTAATTTCAATTTTTTTCCGTGAAAAAAAACCAATATTTTTATAATAAATAAATATATTTTTTAATTATATATCAACTATTTTGGTCAAATACCTGTTGTCATCGTTTCTGGTAGTAGCATGATTTCACATTCATAAAAGTTTTGATCGTTGCTTACAAAAAAACTGATCCAAGTGATTTTCGTAAATGTCTTACAGTTAAAAATAATTTGTATAGACTGGAACAAGTACTGTAATAATCTGAGTGTGCTCGATCTGGCGAATATGGTTGGTGTGATAGCACATCCCATCTAAGTTATAACAGTTTCTGAAGAGTTACCAAACTTGTGTGAAATTTGACATTATCGTGGTAAAACGCTACACCTGTTTTGTTGATCAATTCCGGCTGCCTTTTCTGTTTGATGATATTACTCAATTTGTTTACTCGATGGCAGTACACTTTCAAATCAAATGTTAAATTGTCTGGTAAAAGCTCCAAAAAAAAAAAAAATTTCTTAAAATCCCACCAAAAAGAGCAACTCTCTTTAAGAACATGTGGAACCCATATACCACGCTTTGAAACAAAACCAATTTGTTTCAAGTAATCATAAACAGTTCAATTTGACAAATTTAATCTCTTAGTGATTTCACGTGTTGTTATTCGGCAGTTTGCTTCAATCAGTACTTTTATTTTGTTTTCGTTGGCTTCAACTGGCCATCCAGAACATGGTGCATCTTCAATATTGAAATTGCGAGAATGAAATTTTGTAAACCACTTTTGGCACTGTCGTTCTGTCAACACATCTTCTCCATACATGTACCACAATTTTTTTCNAACGCTATGGAACTTTCCCGAGTTATCTCGGGTTTTAAAGATTGCAGCATTACTTCTTGCCGCCTGCGTATGGCTATGATTGGTCATCTATATTCAGCAAACGAAATCAACAACGCAGTTAAGGAGACAAATTCCCTGACTTTTTGACAATTTTCGACAAATTCCCTGACTTTTTGACAATTTTTGACAAATTCCCTGACTTTCCCTGACTTTTTCAAAAAATAATGAAAATCCCTGACTTTCCAGGTGCGTAGGAACCCTGCATATTGCAACAAAAAAATTTATTTTACCTGTGAAAATACAAAAACGAATAATAATATTTTTGCACTTTTATTAACTATATAAATTTATTTGAAATATATCAGAAAGAATTAATTTAAGTATAATACTAAGTTTTGTTGTTCTCCTTTATTTTTCATGTAAATTAATTAATTAATTTAATTAAAAAAAGTTAAAATTCTAAATTACAATGTTTAAAAATTAAATAAGTATTATCTTACTTAAGTCATGCCTAATCAAATCCAGGGGTACATTAGGTAGTACTCCTTTTACTTGACTAATCATTTCGTTTAAGTTAATTTCTGAAATATTAAACATTTTATCACTGATTTGAAAGTTATATAATTATTGAAAAAAATTATTATAATATAAATAAAAATAATTATAAATAAATTCATCTTGTATAAAAATAACCACAATTAGGATTCACATGAAAATATTTGAAATATAGAAACAAACAAATTTTTGAAGCGTTCTTATGTCATTTTTGACACCACAGAAATGCATTAAACAAAGTGTAAAATTGCAACCATTTTAAAATAAATCCTTCATTGTTGTATATTATTACATAAGTTCACAAATTTTTCAAGTAAACCAATGCTAGGGATAGGAAAGAACCTAAAGAAGACCAACTTCAATGCTATTTTATTATATTCCGTAGCACTAAAAAGGAAGCATTAAGATAAACAAAATAAATTTATTTCAATCTTTAGGATAATCTAACCTTAAGTAATATTTGTATTTCAAAATAACTACTGAATTGAAATATAATTTATTTTAATACAGAAACTGCATATTGATGATAAAAAAGTCAATATTTTATCTTAAGTTTCATCAAATAATAAAAATTTATGTAGAATTATTACTAAATTGAATATGTTTTAGGACAGAAATTTATTATTAAAATTATTTTAGAGATAACATTATGTAATTTGAATTTTATATATGAAAATATAAAACTTGGCTTCAATTCCAATTTAAAAATTTACAATATATAATGTATGTACTAAAAATATTTTCAATTAAGCATATACAGTGGGTGATCGATCGGTTAATGAATAGATCAGTTAACAAACAAATCAGATAACGAACACTTTTGTGAAAGATTTTTTTGATTGGACAAAGAACACATGTTCGGATAATGAACACTTCACTGAAGAAACATAAAAAGAAGCGACGAAAATAGCAAATACTGATTGATTTTCCCTTGTCTTCAGGCAACAATTCTAAGCTTCTCGGAGCGCTGGAGACATCGACATCGATGCTCAACCCAGAATATACTCATCAGATAGTATTCCTCCAAACTTTAAAACTCTCCCTTGTAATTCCAGCCTTTTATTTTTCTGACAGAAACAATTCTTTTATAGTATTCACGAGACTGTTGGGCGTGCACTCGTTAAGTTTTGCATTGAGTTTTATTTTCGAAAGGTAAAATAGCAAAAGTAGAGAGTGGGCAGAAGATGTCTGATGTTGCTGGGCAATATGGCTTGAACGAAACTACAGTAGGGCTCAGTTAATCTTATCTAAGAATGATACAGATAATCAAGAAAACTCAAGCAGCTAAAGGAGTAACAAAAATCACTTCTGAGAAATAAAAAACATTGAAGAACTTATAATGGAACCTGAAACGAATCTGATGACAGAAGAACACCAAGAAACTCAGTGAGATATGTTTTATTATGAAAAAGAGATTAATGCCGATATCTGCTATCAATTAAAGATCTTTTGAAGAAGTGGGGGATGTCAGATCAAGGTTTTAGAATGGCATACAAACCAGGTTGAGATTAATAGGCTTGGGGATCTCTACAATTACAATGCTATTAATTACTTATGGAAATCCTGAAGAAGAGAGAAAAGCAATCCACATTAGACAGATTCTTTAACCTCACAAACAAAAAACCATAACTAATAAAAATACAAGACTGCGTATATATGTATTTTTATTATTATATATAAATGAACGTAGTAAGAAAGTAATATATTTTTTATTTTTTGGGGTCTCCAGAACGAATTAATCAAATTCCCATACAAACGTATGGTAAATTGATAGTCAGTTAATGAACAATTCGGATAGTGAACAAAGTCTTGGAACGGATTATGTTCATTAACCGATCACCCACTGTATTAATATATGTGGGAGGACCCAAAAATAATGGGAGATTTGTAGTATGTGTATCCGCTGCTAGATGTCAATAGATGGAATCCTCTGGAATCAGTGTGCAAAGCAGCGTTGGCATGTCAAAACTTAATCTGCAGCAATTTTTTTGTGAGAGGTGTTTTTTGTTTTCGTCAAAAATATGATGTCCGATTTTAAAGAGCAATGCGCTGCTGTGAAATTTCTTTTCCTGTCAAGGGAAAGGTGGATTGGAAGTGGTTGAAATGATTCAACATGCTTACAAACAAGATGCCGTGAGTAAACCAAGGGTTTATGAGTGGTTTTCCTGCTTTCAAAGAGGAAAAATGTCTCTTGAAACCCAGCTCTGGACATCCATCCAATGTTCGAACTGATGAAAATGTCAATCAAATTCACAATCTCATCAACAAAGAACATTGTCGAATCACTGACAAACTCTTTAATTTGTCTGGGACTTCATGGAGTTCAATTCCGTGAATTTTGTCACAAGAACTTGTCAAGAGAAAAGTTTCTGCAAAGTTTGTTCCGCACTTGTTGACCACCCACTGATCAGAAAGGCAATTGCTTGGCAGCTTGTCAGACTCTGAAAGAACATTTGGAAAATGATCAGACTTGTTTACTAAGATGATAACTGGTGATAAATCATGGTGTTATGGTTATAATCCAGGAACCAAAAGCCAATTCAGCCAGTGAAAAACATCAGGATCTCCTTGTCTCAAAAAAGTAAGACAAGAATGTGAAAACCATGTTAATCTATTTTTTTGATGTGAAAGGAATTATTCATTTCTAATTTGTCCATCCAGGTCAGACAGTCAATTGACATTGTTATCTGGAAGTCCTCAAAAGACTTTGTGATGTTGTGAGAAATAAAAGAAGGGACTTGTGGCAAATGGAGGATTGGTTTCTCCTTCACGACAATGCACCCACTTACACAGTGCTATCCATACAGCAGTTTTTGACAATGGCATGACACTCCTCCCTACCCCCTATTTGCCTGATCTTGCACCTTGAAATTCATTTTTATTCCCCAGGATAAAGAGTGAACTGAAAGGTTTTTACCTCTTCTACTGTCTGAAAGTGATTTCAGACAGTAGAAGAGGTAAAAACCTTTCAGTTCACTCTTTATCCTGGGGAATAAAAATGAATTTCAAGGTGCAAGATCAGGCAAATAGGGGGTAGGGAGGAGTGTCATGCCATTGTCAAAAACTGCTGTATGGATAGCACTGTGTAAGTGGGTGCATTGTCGTGAAGGAGAAACCAATCCTCCATTTGCCACAAGTCCCTTCTTTTATTTCTCACAACATCACAAAGTCTTTTGAGGACTTCCAGATAACAATGTCAATTGACTGTCTGACCTGGATGGACAAATTAGAAATGAATAATTCCTTTCACATCAAAAAAATAGATTAACATGGTTTTCACATTCTTGTCTTACTTTTTTGAGACAAGGAGATCCTGATGTTTTTCACTGGCTGAATTGGCTTTTGGTTCCTGGATTATAACCATAACACCATGATTTATCACCAGTTATCATCTTAGTAAACAAGTCTGATCATTTTCCAAATGTTCTTTCAGAGTCTGACAAGCTGCCAAGCAATTGCCTTTCTGATCAGTGGGTGGTCAACAAGTGCGGAACAAACTTTGCAGAAACTTTTCTCTTGACAAGTTCTTGTGACAAAATTCACGGAATTGAACTCCATGAAGTCCCAGACAAATTAAAGAGTTTGTCAGTGATTCGACAATGTTCTTTGTTGATGAGATTGTGAATTTGATTGACATTTTCATCAGTTCGAACATTGGATGGATGTCCAGAGCTGGGTTTCAAGAGACATTTTTCCTCTTTGAAAGCAGGAAAACCACTCATAAACCCTTGGTTTACTCACGGCATCTTGTTTGTAAGCATGTTGAATCATTTCAACCACTTCCAATCCACCTTTCCCTTGACAGGAAAAGAAATTTCACAGCAGCGCATTGCTCTTTAAAATCGGACATCATATTTTTGACGAAAACAAAAAACACCTCTCACAAAAAAATTGCTGCAGATTAAGTTTTGACATGCCAACGCTGCTTTGCACACTGATTCCAGAGGATTCCATCTATTGACATCTAGCAGCGGATACACATACTACAAATCTCCCATTATTTTTGGGTCCTCCCACATATATTAATACAGTGGGTGATCGGTTAATGAACATAATCCGTTCCAAGACTTTGTTCACTATCCGAATTGTTCATTAACTGACTATCAATTTACCATACGTTTGTATGGGAATTTGATTAATTCGTTCTGGAGACCCCAAAAAATAAAAAATATATTACTTTCTTACTACGTTCATTTATATATAATAATAAAAATACATATATACGCAGTCTTGTATTTTTATTAGTTATGGTTTTTTGTTTGTGAGGTTAAAGAATCTGTCTAATGTGGATTGCTTTTCTCTTTTCTTCAGGATTTCCATAAGTAATTAATAGCATTGTAATTGTAGAGATCCCCAAGCCTATTAATCTCAACCTGGTTTGTATGCCATTCTAAAACCTTGATCTGACATCCCCCACTTCTTCAAAAGATCTTTAATTGATAGCAGATATCGGCATTAATCTCTTTTTCATAATAAAACATATCTCACTGAGTTTCTTGGTGTTCTTCTGTCATCAGATTCGTTTCAGGTTCCATTATAAGTTCTTCAATGTTTTTTATTTCTCAGAAGTGATTTTTGTTACTCCTTTAGCTGCTTGAGTTTTCTTGATTATCTGTATCATTCTTAGATAAGATTAACTGAGCCCTACTGTAGTTTCGTTCAAGCCATATTGCCCAGCAACATCAGACATCTTCTGCCCACTCTCTACTTTTGCTATTTTACCTTTCGAAAATAAAACTCAATGCAAAACTTAACGAGTGCACGCCCAACAGTCTCGTGAATACTATAAAAGAATTGTTTCTGTCAGAAAAATAAAAGGCTGGAATTACAAGGGAGAGTTTTAAAGTTTGGAGGAATACTATCTGATCAGTATATTCTGGGTTGAGCATCGATGTCGATGTCTCCAGCGCTCCGAGAAGCTTAGAATTGTTGCCTGAAGACAAGGGAAAATCAATCAGTATTTGCTATTTTCGTCGCTTCTTTTTATGTTTCTTCAGTGAAGTGTTCATTATCCGAACATGTGTTCTTTGTCCAATCAAAAAAATCTTTCACAAAAGTGTTCGTTATCTGATTTGTTTGTTAACTGATCTATTCATTAACCGATCGATCACCCACTGTATATGCTTAATTGAAAATATTTTTAGTACATACATTATATATTGTAAATTTTTAAATTGGAATTGAAGCCAAGTTTTATATTTTCATATATAAAATTCAAATTACATAATGTTATCTCTAAAATAATTTTAATAATAAATTTCTGTCCTAAAACATATTCAATTTAGTAATAATTCTACATAAATTTTTATTATTTGATGAAACTTAAGATAAAATATTGACTTTTTTATCATCAATATGCAGTTTCTGTATTAAAATAAATTATATTTCAATTCAGTAGTTATTTTGAAATACAAATATTACTTAAGGTTAGATTATCCTAAAGATTGAAATAAATTTATTTTGTTTATCTTAATGCTTCCTTTTTAGTGCTACGGAATATAATAAAATAGCATTGAAGTTGGTCTTCTTTAGGTTCTTTCCTATCCCTAGCATTGGTTTACTTGAAAAATTTGTGAACTTATGTAATAATATACAACAATGAAGGATTTATTTTAAAATGGTTGCAATTTTACACTTTGTTTAATGCATTTCTGTGGTGTCAAAAATGACATAAGAACGCTTCAAAAATTTGTTTGTTTCTATATTTCAAATATTTTCATGTGAATCCTAATTGTGGTTATTTTTATACAAGATGAATTTATTTATAATTATTTTTATTTATATTATAATAATTTTTTTCAATAATTATATAACTTTCAAATCAGTGATAAAATGTTTAATATTTCAGAAATTAACTTAAACGAAATGATTAGTCAAGTAAAAGGAGTACTACCTAATGTACCCCTGGATTTGATTAGGCATGACTTAAGTAAGATAATACTTATTTAATTTTTAAACATTGTAATTTAGAATTTTAACTTTTTTTAATTAAATTAATTAATTAATTTACATGAAAAATAAAGGAGAACAACAAAACTTAGTATTATACTTAAATTAATTCTTTCTGATATATTTCAAATAAATTTATATAGTTAATAAAAGTGCAAAAATATTATTATTCGTTTTTGTATTTTCACAGGTAAAATAAATTTTTTTGTTGCAATATGCAGGGTTCCTACGCACCTGGAAAGTCAGGGATTTTCATTATTTTTTGAAAAAGTCAGGGAAAGTCAGGGAATTTGTCAAAAATTGTCAAAAAGTCAGGGAATTTGTCGAAAATTGTCAAAAAGTCAGGGAATTTGTCTCCTTAACTGCGTTGTTGATTTCGTTTGCTGAATATAGATGACCAATCATAGCCATACGCAGGCGGCAAGAAGTAATGCTGCAATCTTTAAAACCCGAGATAACTCGGGAAAGTTCCATAGCGTTATATAAAACTCGGGCATTTGGGCCCTCCGAAAAAATTTTTGTTTTTTTTGGATGTTTTTTAAGTCTCCAAATTTTTTCAAAAATTTTTTCCCGCGCGAAAATATTTTATCGCGATTTTAATATACCTTTAATGACGCACGATTAACTCTTAATTGTTTTTTAATGGGAGTTTTTTTATCAAATTTCATTCATCGTTCTAAAGTAGTAGTGCACGGATTTTACTTCGATAAAGTTATTTAAAGCTAGTTTCTGATGTCAAAAACGACCTCCAAT